AAGATAGAAGTTGCAGATCAGAACTGTACACTAAAGTTTGTAATAAGACTGTGGGGATTTGAGAGATGTGCCGAAATGAGTAAAGGTGGCAGGTATTTGATTATGGCGTATAGGAATCTCTGGTTACAGAGTTGAAAATGGACATAGGAGTTTCTGGTGTGATTCATCCATGGCCAGCAGTGGAATTACACTTGAGGGGGCATTGATTAATTGGTAAAGGTGTGAATTGTGGAGCCTCTACAACAATGCTACCAATGTGACGAAGATGAAAGGTGAAGCAGATGCCATTCATTTTATTTTGTTCATGGGCTGTCAGGCAGGGTGAAATAGTTAGGTCCTAGACATGGCAATGTCAGTCCTCACAAAGAAGGTATGGGTTCCAAAAAGTTATGAACTAAATAGGGAGGTTTTACTGCTTGCCCCACTTCGGCGGATTGGAGTATATCCTAAGTGAGGACGAATTCGAAATGCGACAGTAGTTAAAAAATACCTTAACTGAGTATTTGGGTAAAAGGGAATGATTTTTTGCAAATGGGGATTGCATAACTACACAGACAAAACAATGGAGAATAGTATATTATGTGATATGGTGTGGGAAATTTAAAGCTGATTCCCATTTTGATGGTCTTTGAAATGCACGATTTCTTGTTTATGTCCTTTAATTTTGCTCGCTTTTAAACCGTGATTTCTCGTTTAACCTTTCAGCCGCTGCATATTCGAGTAAGTGAAACTCATAAAATGTGTATACTTTTGTACTGTATTTTTATCGTATAATTACTCTGGAACATGATTTATTTTTTCAGGTGTCAGTTGTGTGGGTGAGTTGATGTAACAATTTTGTTGGCAACTTGTTATTCATTCTGGAAGGGTCTAGTTGGTTGTCTGATTCATCGGTGATTTATTGGTGGGTCTTGCCCATTTAAAGTACACATTTGTATTTCTCATCTAAAAATACCTTAAGATTACTTATTACTTCGATGCAATATATAACGCCTATCGAATTGACTGCTCCACCTGAAAGTCTATTCGTTTATATTTTAGATTCTGCACAGAGTAAGTAATAGTAATAATTACTTTATTGAATTTTGGGAAAATTTCCTTAATTTAATACTTAAGGTGGGTATTCTGGTCTAGAGACATGAATTATAGGTCATTTTTGAAGTGCTGTAAAAAAGCAAGCAATATTTTAATTATCAATTTTTTATACATTATTAATTCACCTTAGACGCATACAAAAAAATAAAAAATTTAAATTTCCGTCTGATGGTGATGACCATATCCATCATTTTAACTTTCTAAGCAATCTGAAGTTAAAAAATAAAAAAGATTATCAATCTATAATAATGTCGCTATGTCCGGAACTACGGAAAAGTTTTAGATATTTTTTTACAAAATGGCGACTGTCTAAAGAAAAAAGCCATTTTTGTTCCACTTTTTTTAAAAAATTCTTCATTTTTTTAAAAATAGTAAAAATTAAAATTTTTGGATGGCCGTAGTTCCGGACATAGCCAAGTCCCTAAAGAAGACTCTCTTAAAATTTCAAGTAAATCGGTTCGGCAGAATCTGAGAAATCATGGGTATCAGATTCAAAAAAAAGTTTTGAGAAAAACGCGTTTAAAGATTCAAGTAAAATATTTTGCAGTCTAAGTCATAAAATTATATTTTTAACTTACATTTATTCAATCTGCCATTCCTGTTGCATACATCGAACCTTCCTTGACTTCGAAAAAACTATTTTCGGTGTCTCTGTTTTCTATCCGACCATTTCTGACCTCCTTTGAAGGGCTGGATGCTCGTATCTCGGAGCGGTCAATCCGCTTCTGGACCAATTTTCACTCCCATAAGCGTCATTATCTTCAATATCACTATAAATCCTTCATTAAAATACACACAGCAATAAATGTTGCAATTTCAATGATCTGAGACCCGGAATGGATATGCTTTGGAGCGAAAGTCCATATCAGCGAGTTTAGAGATTCAGTATTATTTTGAGTTTCTGAACCCAAACATCGAGTCCATAACTCTTCTGATGATAAACTTTGAAGGATTTGTCAGCGAATGGAGATGATGGAATATAGCGTAGACTATTGCAACTGCATTGTAATGAAATTCTGAACCCGAGTTCACGTTGAGCCGTTCTTGAAAATATAATCTCTTTGATGTAGGTAGTACACGAAATAAACGAATAAATTGCTGAAAAGACCGTGAAAAACTCCAGAACACAGTTGCCGAGGTTATTATCTATAATTACTTCTTCATCATTTGATTTCCCCAATTTTACTTCTGATGCACTCGTAAAACTGGTGTTTTCCTGCTCCGTAAATCAATTGCCGTGAAATATATATAAAAATATATATATTTTATGTGAATATAGATACAACGGAACAAAAGGACTTACTAAGAAATATAGATTCAGGTAGTCGGAGAACTCATTATGTCTTTTGTTCGATTAGTAGCAGCCCATCGGATTCGGATGCCTGCTCAGTAAAATACTTATATCTCCGAAACTAATTTGAATTTTAGAAAATCCTCTCGTAGACATATTCTTGAATAGTTAAACTATGAAAATAGGCAAAAATAAAAATTTCGAAAATTTTTTCCCTAGACCAGAATACCCCCTTAATTGCCCGATATGGTTGTAATAGTGATAGAGGTTAGTGTTATACAACCTTTTCAGTGGTTCCGTTTTATATTTGCCATATTTGTGCTCTTTTAAATATCGGTAAAACAATCATGATAGCTTTTTTTTCTATTTCTCTTCAGGTAATCTTTTCGGAGGTAAGTGTTCTGTTCGATTTTAAAACAAATCTTTTTTGTTTGATTAAACCTCGACTAAGTTAGTTAAACGGGATGGTCGTTAGTTTATATGAATATTTCAGTGCTTAACAAGAGTAGTGACAGTTAAAGTTGTGCTATAGTTAACAGTTCAGGAAATTAATAAATTTTCATAAAGTTGAATTTCGAGATCAAATAGCTTGCGATTTGTCTATCAGTTAGGCGTGGTTCAAAACTGTACACAGTGAAGCAAATTAATTAATTTCCAATATGTTGAATTTCAACAAATCTTTTTTCAATAATCCACCCCACCCTTGTTTTTCTAGTGGGAGGTGCTTCGAGTTAGTTCCTTTCGTTTTTATTGTTCCTTTCGCTAAACAATTGTATTTGGTAACCTTAATACTCCCATGCAATATTTTATCCGTGTCTAATCATTTAATCCTATTTAAAAATCTCAACATTCATATTTTAGGTTTTGGTTCTGGTAAGTAATAGAATTTTTTACTATAATTGACTTTTAGATCTATCAACTAGAGGAGTGATAGTCTTCTGTATATTTTAGTACAAAATATGAGCTATATGTTGCATGAAATTTTCAGTGTTTAGATGTAGTAGTGATATTTGAAGCTTGTCCTAATTACGTAATATTTTTATACTATTCAGAAATATCTAAACATCTATTTTCCTTTCTCTTTTTAGCTGTTCCTTGTAAAAGTAGGTGTTTTATTCGTTATTAATGCAAATTCCTAATTTCTAAATGCTTTTGGAAAATTGTTGCCTTTTGAAGATTAGTTAAACACAATTTAAGGACCCACTTGAATGTTTGGAGAAAGAGAATAAAACTGCCATTTGGAGATAGTGGTTATCAGCGATGTAATTAAAGATGAGAAGATAAGAGAAAGATTTATTGGTGGTTTCATATTTTCGGACATAACCAATCAGCTAACACCAATCCTTCTGGTTGTTAGCTTAGCTGCAAAGATTGTGTTTGTCAGTCAATTTTTGTTCTCCCACATCCATTTGAATGATCACTAGGTATCGTCTAGGATGATTCTGATTTTGAAGTACATTATACATCAAAAGTGATTGTCTTGCCATGTAGCTTCAGATGACTGCGTAAGTGTATTGTTATGTTAAAGGGCATATCTCATTTGTCAATTGTCGAGGTGATAAGTTGATTATTGAATGCCAGCATCATCACTTCTCTGTTTACTTATTAAGTTTGTAACTTGAAATCCTTATCTGGTATATTTCTGATTGAAATGGGTTTGTCTACTTGTTGCCTTGTACATGTTGGGATGTTTCATATTGGGCAATATTGAGTTGTTGTGAAAGTGGATTGACGGTTTCAATGTTGTCGTGCTTGAAGTGGTTTGTGTGTGCGTTAACGAAGAAATGGTTTTGCGACGCGTATTGCCTGCTGTGTAATTTAAACTTATTTATCCTTTGTTCTACTCCTGCGTCGTTTTCATAGCAGGGTGGGGTGTCATGTAAGCGGATATCCTTTTTCAATACTCAAATTCAAGCCCGTTAGTTGATTTTTGAATTTCTAGGTAGAAAAACTGTCTCGCAGGAGTGAACTGATTGGGAGTATACGGTTCCTCATTTCTACATGCTTTTGGAAAACTGTTGCCTTTTGAAGATTAGTTAGCTCCAATTTAAGGACCCACTTGATTGTTTATAGAGAAAATAAAACTGCCATTTTTGAGGTAGCAGATATTAGTAATATAATAGAAGATGAGAAGATTAGAGAAAGATTTAATGGTCATTTCATATTTGCGGACATTACCAATCAGCTAAAACCATTACTTCTAGTTTTCAGCGAAGCTACAAGACTGGGTTTGTCAGTTAATTTGTGTGCCCCTACTTCAATATGGATGATCACTAGGTATCGTCTAGGATGTTTCTGATTTTGAAGTACATCATACATCAAAAGTGATTGTCATATTAAAGGACTAAGTGGCTAAGAAGAATCCTGGACGAACGAGAAATCATGCTAATAACGTTAATTGCATTAATTTGATTTGGTGTATAGTAGCTTGTCAATTTGTTTTAAACACACGTTGAAATGCAATCGACTTCCGCAAACACTCGAATTTAAAAATGTTTGGGTATCAAAGTGTTTAAGTCAAGTCGGGGTTAGAACTTGCCTTTTGGCATAAATGATTTTCTTAATGAGTGAGGTGTCTGCCATGAAATCTTTTCAAATTTTTTCACTTCTAGTTCAAGCTGACGAAGACTATGAGGGTATGTTCTACCTCCATTGCAGTGAATTGTAAGGGGAATAGTTGATTTTTTTGCTTTTTTTATTTTAGATGACTTCGATATGGATGGATGTAAGTCACCAATTGCACGTTTCGAAATCAACTTTTGTCTGAACTCAATTTTGTGGGCATATCTCATTTGTCAATTGCCGAGGTGATAAGTTGATTATTGAATACCAGCATCATCACTTCTCTGTTTATTTATTAGGTTCGTAACGTGAAATCCTTATCTGATATATTTCTGATTGAAATGGGTTTGTCTACTTGTTGCCTTGTACATGTTGGGATGTTTCAAATTGGGCAATGTTGAGTTGTTGTGAAAGTGGATTGACGATTTCAATGTTGTCGTGCTTGAAGTGGTTTGTGTGTGCGTTAACGAAGAAACGGTTATGCGACGCGTATTGCCTGCTGTGTAATTTAAACTTATTTATTCTTTGTTCTACTCCTGCGTCGTTTTTATAGCAGGGTGGGGTGTCATGTAAGTGGATATCGCTTTACAATACTCAAAGTCAAGGCTGTTAGTTGAGTTTTGAATTTCAAGATAGATTGACTTGTGAATTGCTTTTCAAACATATGGGCTAAATTATTGTTTCCTCTTTGCAATGCTTAATACTCCGATGCAAATTTTAATGAATATTGGATTGTCTAATCCGTCTGAAAATCAATTCATTCATATTTTAGGTCCTCCACCGTGAAAGTAGAATTAATTATTATTCTTATTTCCATCATTATCATTGAATTTCTGTTAAAGTCGACTTTATTAAACACTTAATTGCGAGCTAAAAAGATTGACTCTGCAAATAATTTTGTCTCCCTATAAGGTGGGTTATGTTAGGGCTTAAATTATTTAAAATTTCTAATCGAAATTTCAATTTAAACTTCCAAATTTTTGTTCAAAATTGTAATTCGCCGTAGAAATGTTTTGAGCTAATCCTACTGTTTCGTCAATTCTAGGTATTTCAAATGCGGAAGCAATGTCAATGCTTGCACCCAGTAAGTAATATTTTCTCTAAAATTGAAGATTATCAACTGTTCAGTAACATTACTTGAGTTCTGGGAATTCGAAGTCGAAATCGATTATATTTTCTATGCAATTGTCGTGGAGTGTGAGTGGCTAGAGAAACTGAATGGGCAGTACATTTGAATGGTTTCATAAACGAGGGAAATTAGTTTTAAACAGTCGAAAGAGAGCAATTCAGGTGCTGAAGTTTTTACTTCTTTTGTTTAATATTACCCTGTGTGTTGTAAGGCACACAAGTGAGCCTTGACTAAACCTCAACAGCCTTCTCTGGAAGTACTGATGAAAGAGGGTGTTGAACAATTAGTTATTGACTACATTGTGTAAAAGGGAATGATTTTTTTCCTAAATGGATTGCATAACTACACAGACAATACAATATTATATGATATGGTGTGGAAAATTTAAATCTGATTGAAATTTTTGTGGTCTTTGAAATGCACAATTTCTTGTTTATGTCCTTTAATTTTACTCGCTTTTAAACCGTGATTTCTCGTTTAACCTTTCAGCCGCCGCATATTCGAGTAAGTGAAACTCATAAAATGTGTATACTTTTGTACTGTATTTTTATCGTATAATTACTCTGGAACATGATTTATTTTTTCAGGTGTCAGTTGTGTGGGTGAGTTGATGTAACAATTTTGTTGGCAACTTGTTATTCATTCTGGAAGGGTCTAGTTGGTTGTCTGATTCATCGGTGATTTATTGGCGGGTCTTGCCCATTTAAAGTGCGCGTTTATATTTCTCATCTTAGAATACCTAAGGGAACAAATAAAATTGAATTTGAGTTAAAAGGAGACTTATTTGAGTCCGTTATATTTAGAAATAGCTGTTTTCTCTATTAAAATACTTTTTACTTCGATGCAGTATTAAATGCCTATCGAATTGACTGCTCCAACTGAAAGTCTCTTCGTTTATATTTTAGATTCTGCACAGAGTAAGTAGTATTAATATTTACCTTTATTGAACTTTGGACAAATTTCCTTAATTTAATACTTAAGGTGGGTATTCTGGTCTAGAGACATGAATTTTAGGTCATTTTTGAAATGCTGTAAAAAAAGCAAGCAATGTTTTTATTATCAATTGGTTTTACATTATTTATTCACCTTAGAAGCATACAAAAAAATAAAAAATAAAAAAATTTAAAATGCCGTTTGTTATCAGCTTATGGAGTGGGACGTCCCAAAAATAGGGTGCATGACCGTACCCACAATTTTAACTCTCCAAGCAATTTGAAATCAAAAAATAAAAAAGATTATCAATCTATAATAATGTCGCTATGTCCGGAACTACGGAAAAGTTTCGGATATAATTTTTACAAAATTTTGGAAACAATTCACCTAATTTAAAACTTTTTCGCCCAAGCGATAGGGAGAGGTTTGTGTTATACAACCGTTTCAGTGGTTCTGTTTAATATTTGTCATATTTGTGCACTTTCAATATCATTGGAAAAATTTGCTTACTTATTTACCGTTTCATTTTAACTGGTCTTTCCGGGCGTATGTGTTCTGTTCAATTTTAAAACAGTTCGTTTTCGTTTGGCAAAACCTGTGCATAACAAGAGTAGTGACAGTTAAAGTTATGCCATAGTTAACAGTTCAACAAATTAATAAATTTTCATGAAATTGATTTTCAACGTCAATTAGTTTGCGATTTGTCTATCAGTTAGGCGTGGTTCAAAACTGTACACAGTGAAGCAAATTAATTAATTTCCAATATGTTGAATTTCAACCAACATCTTTTTTCAATAATCCACCCCATCGTTGTTCTTATAGTGGTAGGTGCTTCGAATTAGTTCCTTTCGTTTTTATTTTTCCTTTTGCTAAACAATTCTATTTGATATATTGAATACCTCCATGGAATCGTTATCTACCCGTTTAATCCTTGTTAAACCTATCTTCATTCATATTTCAGGTCTCGGTTTTGGTAAGTAATAGAATTTTTTACTATAATTGACTTTTAGATCTATCAACTAGAGGAGTGATAGTCTTCTGTATATTTTAGTACAAAATATGAGCTATATGTTGCATGAAATTTTCAGTGTTTAGATGTAGTAGTGATATTTGAAGCTTGTCCTAATTACGTAATATTTTTATACTATTCAGAAATATCTTAACATCTATTTTCCTTTCTCTTTTTAGCTGTTCCTTGTAAAAGTAGGTGTTTTATTCGTTATTAATGCAAATTCCTAATTTCTAAATGCTTTTGGAAAATTGTTGCCTTTTGAAGATTAGTTGAACACAATTTAAGGACCCACTTGACTGTTTAGAGAAAGAGAATAAAATTGCCATTTGGAGATAGCGGTTATCAGCGATGTAATTGAAGATGAGAAGATAAGAGAAAGATTTATTGGTCGTTTCATATTTTCGGACATAACCAACCAGCTAACACCAATCCTTCTGGTTGTTAGCTTAGCTGCAAAGATTGTGTTTGTCAGTCAATTTGTGTGCCCTCACTTCCGCGTGAATGATCACTGTGCTTCGTCTAGGATGATTCTTGCTTCGATGTTGATTGTTCACTCTAAGAAATGTGAAATGTTTGTATTTCCAGGTAGCTCCAGTTGCATTCAAAGATAATAAGGCTAAGAGGAGTCATGGAAGATTGTGAAATCATGCCAATAACGTTGATGGTATCGAAGTCTAATCATAGAAGCCTTTCAAGATAATCGGTAACACATCGATTTGTTTTCAATACACGTTGAAATGCAATCGGCTTCCCTAAACACTCGAACTTAAAAATAATTTTACATCAAAGTGTTTTTATCAAGTCGGGGCTCTTAATGTATGAAGTGTCTGCCATAGCATTTAAATTCAAATCTTTCTTTTTTAGTTCAAGCTAAATTAGGATACCAGGGTATGTTCTGACTCCCTTTCCATTTCCAATAAGTCACTATGGCTTGCTTAATTTATGGTTATCAGCTATGTGTGTTCCCAGGTCTCTCATTTTCCCTAATGGCATTTAATTGTTTCAGCACCTCCTGCACCGCCAAAGGATGAGGTTGTAGTAGTTGCTGAACTTCAAGAATTCGGTGGATACTGGAACATGAATAAAGAGACTGCGAAGATGCTGAAAGTTGATTTAGGTCAACTCACCTCTTCAAAGTTGCCTGAAGGTTGGTATTTTGCTTTGATGTTGCATGTGGATTCCTGCAACCGTGACCAATTCAATTTAGGTTTTAAAAGGGAAATGGGAACTATGGGAAGCAGGTAGTGAAGTCAAAGCAGCAAGAATTTAACTGTGATTGAAGTGAGAAGCATTGAATTTCCATTGATCTTGATCCATTTGTGGCTTTGTGAAGACATACAAGACTGACGGGTTTAGAAATTTGTGCCCATTTCGTTGGTTAATAGAGTCTGTAACAAATAGTCTGAAGTGGTCATTATATGTAAGGAGTGTTTAAAGGTATGTGAATGCCATTTACTAACTTTCGTTCACTTTCGGCCCTAATCACTGTTTGACAACATTCAGGGAGTGTGCACTGTGGTCCAAACTACACTAAATGACAAAGTCTTAGGCTTGTCTAGCTAATTGTTTGGTTTCCTTACAGCGAAGAACGAGAAGGTGTGGGCCACTCTTCTCGTGATTGCCTACCTTCGCACTTGTCTGGCTTCGAAGAAAGACGAATGGGAGCTGGTTGTGGAGAAGGCCATTGATTGGTTGACAAATGACCAAGGCTGTTGTGATATTGAGGCTCTAATCCAGAAGGCTGAGGCAGAGTTGAAAAAGCTTATAAAGAATTAAAATTGACCTCTTTGACAACTGAATGTTTCCTTTTTTCAATGACTTTTCTCAACTAACTATTTTCTTGCTTTATTAATTTCAATAAAAATATGCTTTTCGTCATTTAATTAGCACGTCTTCTTTGACTCGCCGAAGTTTCATCACACTCGGTTTAATTTAGAGATTGGCGTTTCCCAGAAGAGCAAGAAGAGCAGCAATTAGAACTTAGAATTCACAATTGTTGAAGAACATATGAGAGCTAGTAACCCCATAGCTCGTTCAGTTATTGAGTTTTGTTGATGATATGAAGGTAGTGGGCTTGATGCTTTCACTGACCACCACTAAAATATTTCGTGAGTAGAAGTGTCGGCTACGCGGAGATTAGTAAAACTTGAATCTCCCACAGGTCTACACTTTCGGTTTTGGTAAGGGTGTAATTGAATTCGAATGAGAGAAGAGCTTAATGCCTTAAAGCCTTAGATTCGATAGGAGACCTACCCCTGAAATAGGATGCAAATGTTGATGGAAGTGCACCGGAAATCATTACCATCTTCTCACATTTGTCTGCACTATTCCAATTAATGGATTACTTTCAGTTTGAATGCTGCAAGCGATAAAGTATTGCTTTGAGTAGCAATTTCATGAAACGTAATTGCTCAGACTGTAGAAGTGTGTACAAGTTAAGATGAGGACGAGGAGAGTAGGTCATTGGAAGCCTCTATTTTGGTATTTGGGTCGTTGGAGGGCAGGCTTTATGATAGTTGTCATTAGTTGACTTCGGACTTCACGGAGTGGAGGAGAGTCAAAGTCATTAAAATTGGAGTTGAGGAATAGAAGAATGATTCACAGATTCGAGAGAGACAGATCCAAAGGTAGAGAAATAGGAAAGGTGAGTAATGTGAAAGTTTACAAATATTACATACAGTAAGTCGGGTCATGGTAGTCAGAAGTCGATTGGCGGTTAATAGATATTTTGCTGTTGGGGTGTGCGATAGACTTACCT